ATTGCTGTCTCTCTATGAATTCTTGCAGCCTTTTAAATTTGTCATTATGCTCTTCTCTAATCTTCTTAAGTTCCTCTATTGCGTGGTCTGCACTTTGCATAATTTCTTTCCTGATGTCTTGAAGAGTTCTGTACATTAATCTTTTGAATTCTGCCTCCGGTAATTCGAAGAAATTTTCTTCCTCCAGACAATTTCTAGATTCTTTATTTTGGGGGCTTGCTGAAGCCATCATGGTCTGCCTTTTTATATGATTTGATATTGACTGCTGTCTCTGAGCCATCAATAAGTTATTATTTATTTTATGTTTGCTTACTGTGTCCTAGCGTCTTGTTTTGATATGCCTGAATAGGCTGCTTGTGTGAGCTAACCCGATCACGGGCGCCCCTGAAGCTCCAACATCCTGCCACCAGGGGGCAAGACCTGCCACTAAGTATGTGAGCCCAGGAGTCTGCCCACTCCTCCTGTATAGATTCAGCTCAGGTTTCCAGGTAGTCGGCCACCAAGTGTGTGGTGCAGGCTCTCACCTACAGTCCTAGACTGACATGGGTGATTGGTGTAGACACAGGCATCCATCTGCAACAGGGGGACACATGCTCAGCAAGGCAGGGGGCCAATGGCCGCGCTCGAGTGTCTGGGAGGAAAGTGTGTCCCTGTTCCCTAGAGTGTGTAGGTGGGTGGGTTTTGCAGCCGGACTATGACCACCCAGTGCTGTTGGCTCTGAGGACTGGGGGGCACCTCTTATTCTTGAGCCCCTGTTGCAGGTGGCTAGGTGGCATGGGTGGAGCCACAAGTCCTCAGACCCCTGATGTGGGTAGGTGAAGACCGTGCTTAATGGGCAGAGTGGTATCAAATGTCAAGAACCTGCCACTTCACAGCTGAAACAGTTGAAGTTAGGCTTCAGGTATATACCCTGTTGTACTGTGGTAATGAGGAACTACGCCATTGAAATGGGCCCACACAAGTCTATGCGGGGGAAAGGCACTCAAAGTCCATGGATCCCTTATTCCTGTGCCTAGGCAAAGGAGCTGTGCCTACACTGAATTCCTGGCCTAGGGTAGCCGGCAGATTATTTTCCACCCGTTTGTTAATTTTTTCACTCTCCAAGGCCAGGAGAATGGCTCAGGGTGCGTGACAGGTCCTACTTCCAGCCCAGGGGACTTGGCAATTGCTGAAGCCGTCCCAGACCCAGTGCAGAGCAGGGAGCAGGGACGTAATTGGGAGAGAGGTTTTTCCCAAAGAGGAGTGTTTTTGATCTGCCCAGTAGGCCAGATGCGAGTACTTATCTTTCACCGATCAAGGGCTGCTTCTCACTGGTTCTTGATGGCTGAGTAGACTCTCTGCCACTGGGTGTCTCCTGATGAGGAAAATGCCTCCCGATCGCCGCTGTTTGCCTGCCTCACCCGCATCCCGAGCTGATCCGGGCTGAAGGGCTCCACCTCCTGCTGGGTGAGGTCTGGCAACTGCTCACTGCTTCCGAAGTGTCTCTCCCTCCCCCTGCCACTCAATCCGATTCCTCAACTTTGCCTTTGATGTTCAGGGCTCCTAGATTGTCATATATAATCGATTTACTTGTTTTTTCGAGTCTTTGTTGTAAGAGGGACCACTGGAATCATCTGACTACTCTGCCATCTTCTCAATGCCATTTATGGAGGAGACGCTTCTTTCCTATTGAATGGACTTAGCACCGTTGTCAAATTCAGTTGACCAGAGATGTGTGACAGACTGTATATTCCTAGTTAGTGAAAGAAAAAGGTTAAAAATATACATTCCTCATTCAAAGGTAAATTTACTAAATCATGCAGCAAGTAAGTTGGGGGGAGGGGCTGTTTTTCTATTAAATATCAAAGCTTCAGAAATAAGAGCTCACACAATTGTGTCAAGAAAATCTTTTTGGTTTTGTTTCTAGAGCAAGAAATATTCAGAATTGACCAATTTTTAGGAACAAGAATGAAGAATACTAAATTCTGTTCACTAACTATAGCCAGACTTAGCTGAAGTAGAGCTGTGCTGATCTGGGCAGTCTCCTCCTTCAGTCCTAGGCCTCTCATCTCTTACTGCTGTACTTTTAGAATATTATTGTGTGCTGTTGAGTCGATTCTAATTCATGGTGACCCTATATGACAGAGTAGAGCTGCCTCATATGGTTTCCTAGGCCATAATGTTTACAGGAGCAGATCACCAAGTCTTTCTCCCATGGAGCAGCTGGTAGGTTTGAACCACTGACCTTTGGGTTAGTAGCGGAGCACCTAACCAATGTGCCACCAGGGTACCACTTTTAGAATGGCTTCTACAAAATACGAAAACTGCATTTATCTTTCCATTTGCTAGGTGGCACTCTTGCATTACTGGTTGGGCTAAATGCTGACTAGCAAAATGCTTTGTGGACTTTCAAAGACCTGCCAGACTTTTAAAAAGGGCAGAGACCTACATCAGAAGGAAATATAGTGCTCCATGGGTAGATTAGCACAATCTTTAGGCATATTTTGCCATGTACTGTGTACTTCACTTCTAGGTTCTGTCCAGGTAGAAGAGCCAGTTGGCTGGGGGAGGAAAGAGAGACTTGGAAAGAAAGGATTCCTCTGTGATACATGGAGGCAGTCAGAGCTCAGGGAGAGCAAGAGGAGAGTGACCACGGTGGAAGGAGCTATGAGGAACAGGGGAGGAGGAGGCTGCGGGGGTGGTATTGGGAGGACGGCCTGCTTCCGGCACAGTCACCTCCTTCAGTGGCGCAGGACCAGGGACACTGCAGCATGTTGACTGCATCCTCGGACCTTTCTGCATTTGGAGGTCACATTTTCCAATAGCTGAGTTTATTTTCTAAATCAAGTGTAAGGTTCCCACGCAGTCTTAAGATTTTATGATTATACAGCAAAACCTATAAAAACTGGAACTCAGTGGGACTGTCTTGTTTTTCCGGGTCTCGAAAATTTTCCACCTTTGACAGGATGCAGTCTTACCACTTTTCTATCACTCATTTTAGTGGAAAATATTTGAGTTTTCCTTCTCTGACCGGTTTCTGCCTTACACGGGTTCTGGCTTTCGCAGATTTTACTGTATTAAATTTGTAGGTGTGACAGAGTGGTTGACCCATTGTTTTCCCTTGGTGGCCATCTTTCCTACTGAATGTGAGGAGGGACTTTGTTTCTTCTGTGTTTTTTAGAACAGTTCTGGGCACACACTAAGTTAAATTCTCATTTGTTGACATGAATTCAAATTTTTAACATATGATTTAATTTTTAGATACTGCATATTGGCTCCCTATAAACAAAATAAAAAATTTCACTAAAAACCTCTTCTTTCCCAACATCTTATTTTGATTAATACATTATGACACCCAGTTGTAAAAACAGGGCAATCAGTAAATTTTTTCTGCTTTCCATAGTGGCTCCCTTCCATTTCTTTTTAATTGTGGTAAATCTATATGTAACAAAAAAAGTTGCCATTTCAACAATCCTCACATGTTTAGTGACCTTAATTTTCTTTCAGATCATCTTTATCTTTTGGTTCTGTTTGGTATTTTGCTTTTCTCCTTTCCTTCTCAGTTTCCCTCACTGTGCTCTCTGTAGTGCCTATTTGCTCCTGTGTTCCTTGTAGTTTAGTTCCATTTCTGAAAAATTTCCTTACATTTCTAATTGTTTCCTGAGTCTTGTCAGTTCTTTTTACTATCTGCAGGCTGTCTGTCTTCTCTTTTCTGAGTTTCCCTAATTCTGGTTTATGCTCTTCTTTTATAGCTTCTGTTATTCTCAATTTCTTTGGGCTCATTTTGAAATACCAGGTTACACTTTGCATCTGTTTTGTGGCAGTATTTTTCTGGCATGCCTTCATCGTATTATTGTCTTCTATCTAGCTCATTATTCACTCTCACTTTCTTCAGAATATCTTTGTATGAGTTTCGACCACCATCTTTTGCTGGTGTTGGTACAGACTGTCTGTCCTTTTCTTTTAAGAAGAAGTTTCACTGGAGGTGTGGGAGTGGACCAGAATAGTTTTCTAGCTTCATAATTCTGTTGTTAGCTGTGGTCAAGTTGACTCCTTCTCATTGTGACCTTATGTATATCAGAATGAAGCACTGTCCAGACTGCTTCATCCTCATAATTGCCAGCATGTTTAAGTCCATTGTTCAGCTATTCTGCCAGTCCATCTCACCTAGGGACACCCTCGTCCTTGCTGGCTCCCTACTTCACCAACCATGATGTTCTCCTTTAGCAACTGATCCCTTCTGATGATGTGTCCAAAGCAAGCAAGTCAGATAGTGTTGTGTTGTGATCCACAGGGTTTTCACTGGCTAATTTTTGGAAGTAGACTGCCCGGCCTTGCTTCCTAGTCTGTCTTAGTCTGGAAGTTCCACTGAAACCTGTCCACCATGAGTGAACCTGTTGGTATTTGAAATACCAGTGGCATAGCTTCCAGCATCATAACACAGAAGCCACCACAGTACAACAAACTGGCAGACCCCAGGGTTCTCTATTCTGTTGTAACTTTAAAACATTAGAAAATACAGCTTCTCCTGTAGCCACGTCTCTAGTACACTCTGAAACCTGTCCTGTCATTCTCCTCGCCTACTAGTATCTAAGCCCTCATTGTCTTTTTATTGCCCAGGTCCCATCCTGGTCAGTTTGGGTTTTTACTTCTTGCAATTTCTTGCAGTGCTGTCTTGGAAGGGAGCCCCAGACCTCCCCAAACCTATCACCTGCCCACAGACTCCTTGCAAAGCCCCTCCCGGCTCTACTTGTTGTTTTAAGATCTATATACACTGCATTCTGCACTCAAGGGGTATTTCTCCATTTGGGGATTTGGGGCAGGTTTTGAGTTCTTGGCTCTCAGACTTTTCTCTGTTGCTGGCCCACGTGGGCCTTGATGCTGTCGGAGCTTTGGTTTTCCCTGCTTGCGTTCTGGCGTTTGTGAGGGAACCTTGTCACCTGGTTTTGTGGAAGCTGGCGTCCACGGGTTACTTTCTTTTTTCTTTTCTTTTTTAAGACTGTAAATCAATCAATTTGCAGATTATTGAAGCAAACCTAAATGAAGAATTGAACTTGAAAATAGAAACTGAATTAGTATGTGTTACAACTCATTTTAAAGATCTTGGAAGGCCTCCATTAGGTAAGTCTTGCAGTGGGCTATATTTTGCTTTCGATAAGTTAAATGTTTCAAATAAAAACCTTTGTGGTGTCTCTAAATGTGAAAAGGGAGCCCTGGTGGCACAGTAGTTAAGAGCTCAGCTGCTACCCAAAAGATCAGCAGTTCGACTCCACCAGCTGCTCCTTGGAAACCCTATGGGGCAGTTCTACTCTGTCCCATAGGGTCGCTATGAGTCAGAATCGACACGATGGCAATGGGTAAATGTAAAAAGGTGGACATTTGGTTGACTGTTTTTTATGCTTGGAGAGAGAACAAAAGAATTGAGATTGAATTGCCTATCACTGGCACATTGGAAAAGTTAGCCTACCTGGGAATAAGGTGCCACTAAATGGCTAAATTAGGGTCTGTTTCCTCATCTGTAAAACGAGGAGTCAAGCTAAATAGTCTTCACGGTTCCTCCCAGTGATTAAGTCCAGTTTCAAACTCTCACCCAGAATGGAGTCAGAAAGGTAAACTAAAATTTCTTCTTTTTTTCTCATGCATCAGATGCTTTCAACACGTATAAAATTAGATTAGCAGATAGAAAGTTTTCTCACTTGGTCAGAAATCAATTTTCATTTCATACGAGGTGATGAGGGACTGCCAAGCCAGTTCAGTAAGCAGTGAGGGTAGAGTGCTGGCATGATCTGGTAAGTAGTCAGTCCCAGAGGGCTTGGGCTTGTGCTGCACAGGGCGGAGTGTGAGAGGGGCCCAAGAGGGAAGCAGGGGAAGAGGACAGGGGAGAATAGGTTTGCTGGTTGTGTGAAAATCATTTCATGATACGTGTTTGCTCTGAAACAGACATAATAGGTCCCAGGCACTTTTAGAATTAATATTTAGTGCCACAAGTTTGCTTGAAAATAAGCACAAGTTTTAATAGTGCTGCAAGTGATTTTTACTTTATACTAAGGAGAGTACTGTTCCAGCAAAGTGAAATCCATAATATTAAGGCAATAAATACAAGGAAGGTCTTATATATAGTACTTTCCTAGAACTTGAAAGAATGCTTTCTTTCTTTTTATTCCACTTTTAAATGAGAAGCCTTGAAATAGTTATATATATTTCAGCTCTTAAATGTATAGTGAGTACTAATAAAGACAATTTTCTTTTAACCTATAGAGGGAGCTTGGGTCATATCTTAAATCCCTGTAAGTGAAGATCCCCTAGAAATTAGCATAGTATTTTACATAGTAAAGATGGACAAATGCTGGCTTCGTGAGTGACGACATGGACAAGTTACAGTGTTTCTACAGGATGCTAAAATCGGTGAAAATGGAAATCATTTATTTAAGTAAAGAGTCATTACATCGTCTTTGGGTTCCGTCACATCTGATGATGATGTATTTAAAAACATTTGTGTCATTTTAGCCTCTGAAAGTTGTTCTCAAAGTAGAAACCCGGAACAAATGGCTGAAGTGCGCATAGATATTAAGAAGCTCCTACAGTTCCTTGCTGGACAACAAGTAAATCCTACAAAGGCCATATGCAGTGAGTCTGCATCTTTGTTTTTTTCATATTTCAAATACTTTAATCAACTGTAATCTAACGGATTGTATGCAGTTTTGTTGACACACACACAAAAAAATCTGTTCTATGAACTCCAGTTTTCTAGCACAGTGTTAAAATGGTGTGGCAGCAGTGTTAGACCCTTAGTCTAGCTTCACTATGGAGGAGGAGAGTATTTATCAGCATCAGCGGCCCAAGGCTGATTCCTGTGAGTTGGAGGTCAGACATACCTTCTCTTTCCAACCTTTTTACCACTCCTGACACCAGCCGTCACTCACGACACTCTCTACTTCTCTGCTGGGTTCGATAATTCGTTGCAATGGCCACACAGAACTCACAGACCATACTCACAATTATGGGCTTTATTAGGGAAGTAACAGATTACAATTCAGGATCAGGAACGACTCAGGATACAGTTCTTTGGTCAGGACAGTATCTCGGCCATGCCCGTGGGAAGCCCACTGTGCTGTCTAGCGCCAGTCTCCTGGTTCTGCTGCCTCTGTTGCCACTGTTTCTCTGCTGCTGCTTTTCGCCATTTCTAGCCATCTTTGGTGTTACAGCTCTTGCTCTGTCTCCTAGGTCTAAGAGGTTCTGAGTGCAGGGATCCCATGTCCAAAGGACTGCTGCACTCCTAGCTTTTCTTGCTTGGTGGTAGTTACGTCCCCCTTTCCTCCTCTGGGATGGCTCATTTTAAGCCTGGAGGGATGGCAAAACTGACCAATCCCCTCTTTAGGGCTCCATATACCTTATGTGCATAGTCTCACCCCCACAAGGGTGCCATGCACCTTATTTGTATTATTAGTAAGCTGTCCAGTCCCCTTGGTGGGCCAGAAGCACCTTATTTGCATAGTCCCAACCCATCTTTTGGTGGGAGTTACAAGACCATGGCTAGAAAAGCCACGTAAAAGTGATCCATCGCACTGCAGACGGTCAGGTTGCCCGTTATTCAGAAGAAACTAGAAGGGGAAAATGCCTGGCCGAAGAGAAACAACTCCTGGCATTGTTTGCTTCTGACAACCTGTGGCCGCACTGGGGTTGAGCTCTACTCTGGGGTAGATGGGCTGAGCAGGCGGCCCTGACTGGCTCTCATGAATCAGGTCTGTGCCTGGAGAGCTGTCAGAGAACATGGACTGATAATCCCATTTTTGCCATTTTAATGTACTTTTACTCGGAAGAGCTGATAGCATTTTGCTTGGATTTAGGTTTCCAGCTGTGATGTGTTATTTTCTTTCCGATAGCGCTTCTTAAAACTTGAATATGCGTCTAAAGCACCGGGGATCTTGTTAATGCAGATTCTTAGTCTTGGGTCTCTTGCCTTCCAAGACCGCTCCTCCTCCCAGCCCTAGAGTCTGAACTTCCAACAGCTTGAGAAGTTAGAGTTGAAATACTCCTCCTCTCTGCATAATGTGGAAACCGGGAGAGTGGGAAAAGGGGAGGTGTTGGAGTGGCAGTAGGAGAACAGCGCCCCTCAGCTCTACCACCTTAGTCCTTGAAATGCCATTTTGTGATGCCTTTTGAACAGTAATCTAAGGTTAACTAAGAAGACAGAAGAGAGTTATTTTTATCAGCAAAGGCAGTTGACTGAGTCACTTGTACCTGAATGAAATTTTGAGGTAGCAATAATTCTAGGAAAATGACCCCATTGAACTTCTTCTACTTTTTATCTCCCCAAACCTCCTATTCTGCCTGTATTTTCTGTCTTGGTGGGTAGCATCCTCCTGCTGTCAGCTCAGCAGTCCCTCCTCCATGATGCTTTCTTTCTCTGGCGCCTTCGGTTTCCACCCCACTGGGGGGAGTACAGGCCATCTCCTAAAGAAGGCTTCTACACGTCAGTGTGTGGTCCCCACCCCTGCATCCCTCCCCAGCCTTGGAGTCAGCTGTGATTGGGCCTCTGTAACAGGGAGCTCGTCTGCTTTTCGTTCACCTGTTTCTTATCAGCTCCTGGCTCTGGGTCTGGCACTCAGTCATGTTTCCGTGTTGACTGAATGTGTGGTAGGCACCTGCCCTGTGGCTACAGAGCTACTCCACCTGGTGCCTCCCATTATTCCCCACTCTCAGAGCCGGCGTGGTCCATGGTCCCGCACCCTGGGTTCTGGACTGTGTGTCAGTCCTCCTCCCTGCTCTGTGCTGTCCCTTTCCCTTCACCTCCCGGTGTTCCCTGAGGGGGAGGAGCACGTCACACTCCTGCACGTGGCTCCTGTGGTCGTTTCCCTCTTTGGTCTGGAGCCTGATGCCCCGTGCTCTGTCCCCACTGAACACAGTGCCTGACTATGAGCCTTCACAGCATTTTGCAGAAGACTGAGTGGGCTGGCCAGTTAAAGTGCTGCTCTCCTGCCATTGTGGAGCTCAGCTCGTCACAGGTGTTAGGTGAAATCTTGGGCATTCCGACTTTTTCCTCTACATTTATTATTGCTCACTGGTGGAAAGTTGCTTTTGCTCAGAAGTACCTTGATTCGGATAAATGTGGTTGCCAGGAAACCTGGAGTAGGAGTTTTTCACCCAAGGCCCCAGCAGCTTCACTCTCCTCTCTCATACCCTGCTGTGGCTGAGCAGCTTGAACTAAATCCAGGGTGGAGCACCAGCTGTAAGATAATGTTGGAGGGCAGAGAGGCTGCAGACTTGACCGTAACTCATTTGCCTCTGAAGGGCCCAGGTGCTCTAGAAGAAGTGCAGAGTGAAAAGCCATTTTAATATGCATGGATACAAGTGTGTGTGCTGGAATGGGTCTTTAAAATAACTTCGTTGTTCTTTTCTCCCCAGATATTGTGAATCACAGGATCGTTCATTTTGATTTGCTTCATGAAGATGTGTCTCTTCAGTATTTCATTCCAGCACTGTCGTAACACCACCTCTGCAGACTTGGGAAGCTCAGAGACCTTTGTCGTGATGGGAGGAGGAGATAGGTTCATGTTTTCTAAGTCATTTGTCTCTGTCCTCACAGTCGTACAAGTCAAACACACTTTACTTATTTCCCCTTCTGTAATGTTTTAACTAAAAATTGAGTTAATGAAACACAGCTGGATAAATGCATTGTTTCATATTACTTCTTTGTTCTCATGTCTGCTTTATTTTGCTTTTAAGACATTGAAAAAAAGAGCCGGAACTGATTTATCCAGACTTTAAATATTCGTTCTTATTGGTGATGTTGTGGAACTCTCATGTATTTAGACCTGGTGAAGTATCAGAATTCGTAAGAGCGTGTCTGCTGAGCTGGTGCTTGTGTTTTCAGGGTGCTGTCTCCACCTCAGCACATTGTTGTAGCAGGTAGTTTTCTTCTGCAGGAAGCAGACCTGGAGCATTTATACTTCCCGCACTTACCTCTCCTTGCTCTGATTCGTGGAGCCTGTTAATAGAAAGGAGGGGCCTCCTGTCACCTTGCCATCTGGTGGTTATTCAGAGCGTTGTGGGGTGTCTCAGAGGCCCAGTGTTGGAGCCTTTGTCCGGACTCGCATAGAGCAGAGTCCTCTCTCCTCTTGCCCTGAGACCTGATGCATGTGGACAAGTGAGAGCTAGTCCAGGAACTTCATCCTGCAGCTCCTCTCAGTTTTACTCTGGGGTCAGTTTTGGTCTTATAATTACTTTCCCCCTGGTGTATTGGATCTGTCATTCTAGAAAGAACATCAGTGTATTTTTCTTTAGAGACATCACTTCTAAACAAACAAAACTTCTAAGCTAGTATCTGTATTAAGTGACGAGACCATATTTCTGTTTACTTACCAAAGGTGGCAGGTGCTGATAGATGGGCTTTCTCATTCTCACTCAAGCATAGTCCACCATCTTTCCCGTTATAATTAAATCTCGCCTGTCCTATGGGGGTGGACATCATAAATGTTACGTTAACTTCACATAACAAACTTGAAACTTAAAGCAGTTGTTTAGGGTAAGTTGCAGAAGTGGGAAATCAGCAAAAATAAAACATCTTTTATGGCTTTTTCATATTTGGTAAAACCAGTGTGTTTGAACAATTCGCCTGGTGTTTAATAATGTTAGTTTAAATGGGCTGTAATATTTTGTAAAATAAACGTCTAAAAATTTGAGAACATAATTTTATTTATTTAAAGCCTCTTTCCCCTCTTTGCCTTGTAAAAAAATTAATTCCTGCTACAGTTATAAAACTTAAAAATCACGATGCAAAATGAAATAGCATCTCAAACTAGTTTTATAAGACTTATATTTATTTTTAAAGAAAACTGTGTTAGAGACTTGCTAATCTAGAAAATTAGTTATTTCTGAATTTTTAAATGATGATTTTACGCGTATAAAGAAAATATGTTTGTAGTGTAAGTTAATAGTAAAATAGCCTGTTTTCTAATTTGCATTTCACAAAATGTCCTCTGGTTTTCCCAAGACCTTCACCTGCATACTTCAGCCTTGTTATCAGCGTGCCAGGCATCAAGGTGCTGCCCAAGGAAGGCACTCCGGTGGGCCGTCCAGGTGAGGAAGGACTTGAAGGTATCTGAGAGGGTGTGTGCTGTTGCTGCGTTTTGCAGGCTAGGTTCGGTAACCTGCCCTGGGTCACACAGGTTGCTCCAGGGATGGGGTTTGAACCCAGGACTTCTGCTATATGACCATTGTCTTATCCTCACACTTCCCAGCTGAGTGACCATGCAGTGCAATGAATCGCTTTCATATCGTCTTTCTAGTCATGGTCTTGTAGCTCCCATTAGATGATTTTCTGGGACTATGCAGATAAGTTGCATGGAATCCTTGTGGGCATTGGACAGTCTGTTAATGCAAATAAGGTTATGGAACCATTGTAGGGGATTGGTCAGTTTTGCCATCCCATTAGGCTTAAAAAGAGCCAATCCCAAAAGTTGAGGGGGGACTTCAGTATCATCAGGAAGAAGAGCTAGGAGTGGAGCATGTCCTTTAGACCCAATGTGCCTGCGCTGAGAACCTCCTAGACCTAAGAGATAGAACTGTAACACTGGAGAGTTGTAACACTGGAGGCAGTAGTGGCATGAGATAGCAGAGCCATGGGACCAGCAGACAGCTGAAGTTGCTCACTGACTCATGGGACAAGAGAGCTGAGTGCCTTAGGGCAAGAAGCTCCCTAGTAGAGTGAGGTGCCTCTGGGCACTTATCAGCAGAGCTAAACAAAGAGCTGTAACACTTGCTGGAGCAGGGCAGAGGCCAGGGCCTGAGAAGCATCCTGCAGCAGCAAGGCCTGGAAGCAGAGGCCTGCTGCGGGCATGGCCAAGAAGACACTGTCCTTATCAAAGAAGTGTATCCTGAGTTGTTCCTGTTTGTTCCAAGTTGATCCTGATCCTGAATTGTAACCTGTTACTTCTCTAATAAACACCATAATTGTGAGTATGGTCTGTGAGTTCTTTGTGGCCATTGCAACAAATTATCGAATCCAGCAGAGAAGTAGAGAGTGCCATGGGAGGGATGGCTGGTGTCAGAATTGGTAAAAAGGTTGGACAGTGAAGGTATGTTTGACCTCCACCTCATAGGAATCAGCCTTGGGCTGCTACTGATGTTGATTCTCCTCTCTCCCTGAAATTAAACGAGGTCTGACACTACAACACAGCAGACTATAATGAATCTTCTGAATGAATAATAAATAATAAATTTCAAAGTTAACATTCAATCATTTTATGAGTTGGGAAAAAGTAACTTAAGTCTGCTATGGTAAAGTAGATATAAAAGCAACTTTAAAAATATCACGAAACCAGAAGTAATTTTCCCAAGCTTTATATAGTGTTTGCCATGTAATACCTAACTTTGGTGATATTATGGCTCAAGATTTTCTCTCTGTGTGGAGTGTGGCTAATTAAAAGAGCCTTCACTGGGAATCAAGAACCTGGGATAGCTTTTTAATTCTTGTCACATAATTGCTATTTAGTGCTTACCAAGTCCTCTACCTCTTTGAGTCTCACATACCTGTAGAATCAGGATGATTCTTACTTCCCACAATGAGGGAGTTAAGAGAAAACCATAGACTTATGGAAATACACAGTGCAATTTTATTAAACAGTGCCGAAGTCAAAGTTTGTTAGGTCAAGAAGTAGCAATTATTCCATTTAGAGGAACAAATACAATTTGAAAAATTAACTTATTTTAAGACTAACATTTAAAGTGTTTAGATCTCTTTGAAATAGCTTTTTGGACATTAAGAGAGAAACTTGCTGGCTGGGACATGTGAGGATTTACTAAGTGCTATGGCATGTAAACTGCTGTCTCGACGCTGAGGCAGATGAAGTCACCCACTGACTGGCCTGGCTCCGTCTCAGTGCTGCACACTCCTTTGATAAACACTTCTGGAGTTAGCTTTGGGACCAATCTGCTCTGAGTCAGAGATGTTTAAGAATTCCTAATCCAGCAGCTCAGTGATTAATATCAGAGTGGCCTCATCATCCTCTTTCCACACCTTTCTTGGTGAAACTAGGAATTAGTTACCTACCATGTTTGCCCAAGGACAAGTTAACAGTGTGATACCATGCCTGCTGTGAAGGGCCATGTTCACACTGGTATCCTTTGGGGGCTGGGGCTGGGATTCTGGTACCTGCTGCCCGCCCAGTAGGGAAGCTATTTCATGACATTTATGTTCCTGATAATATATTGCCAAATTCTGTACTTCTATATGGATTCTGACAGGGGTAGTCGAAAAGGAAGCTTGAGAGTCTTCCAAATTTTAGAGCTTCTTCTAGTACAGTTGTTGAACCAGTAGAATCATTTGTTACAACTGGTAATACCCTGAGATTATCAGGGAAAGAAATTAGCCCATTTAGATCCTGCTGGTGGGAATGTAAATTGCAATAACTTTTCTGGAGTCCAGTTTGGTATCATATATGGAAAGCCTTAAAAAATATATGTGTAGCCTTTGACTCAGTACTTCTGGTTAAAGGAATTTGCACTAATATGCAAATATGCTTTAGTACTATTATACTACAAAACTAGAAATATCCTAAAAATGAATTTATAGAGGATTGGTTAAATAATCTATGGTTTGATGCAATATTTTGTACTCTAATAAGTAAACATTACAGAAGAAGTAGGTCTAGTATGGCAAAATGTCTGTGACTTATAGTTAAGTGAAGAAAACAGGTTAAACTGATATGTGCAGTATGATCCCAGTTTAGGAGAAAAATGATGTGTATATATATGTCTGTATGAGAGGAAAAGATTGGGAAGACATAGTAACATTTAAACCTGGTTATTTCTGTGTGGTTTTATTTCAATCTAGTGCATTTATGTATTTTCTAAAAAGTTGATAATAAAAATAAATTATTTTTCTAGAAATTAGTAAGTATTTATTATTTGAATGCAGTGTATGTTCAACTGGCAGTTAGTTTCCTGAACCTTGGAGGAAACAGATACCCATGCTGTGAGCTCTTAATGTTCACAGCACATCCTTATTCTAGTAAGTGGAAAACTAAACTTTTGACATGTTGAAATTATAACAGATTTGAAATAATGGAGTCTGGATCACTTTAAAAAGAAAAGTTGCTGTTGAGTCGATTCCGACTCATAGCAAACCTATATGACCGAGTGGAACTGCCCCATAGGGTTTCTAAGGAGTAGCTGGTGCATTCGAACTGCCTACCTTTTGGTTAGCAGCCGCGCTCTTAACCACTCTTAACCAGGGCTCCACTGGATCACTAAGATAACAAACACATTATTACAGAATAATTTCTTATCATGGACCCAATGTGAATGAGGCTAAATCTGCATGTAGTGTAGTTTTTGTAGGTCAAAATTTGGCCTTCAGATTTTAAAAAATATAGTGAGGGAGGAGGTACTGATTATTAGGTTCTAGGCTGGAGGGTTTAGGGTGAGGCAAGCTAAATCAAGTTTCACCAATTACCTAATGGTAAGAAAGATGAACCCAAGGGGCTCACGAGGCACTGGAGGCTGCCTGCGTGACATCCAGGTCCTCTTCATCTGTGACACTCCCCTTGCTGAACCAGTCTGCACTGCCGGCAGGGAGGGAGCACGGAGTTCCTCATCCTTGTAGAGGAGGACTCCTGGGGTGAATCCCGGCTGTCCTAGTGATCTGTTCTAATCTCGGGCAAGTCATTTCAGCTCTTAGAGAGCTAGCAACTATGAAGAGTGACTGGAAACGCTCACCCTCAGTGGTGGTGAGAAGTAAATGAAATACAGTACTCGTAGGCACTGTTCTAAATTGTGAAGTAGAAAAGGCATTTGTAAGCCTTACCAAAAAAAAGAGAAAA